TCAGTCAGTCAATCAGTCAGTCAATCAGTCAGTCAGTCAATCAGTCAGTCAATCAGTCAGTCAGTCAATCAGTCAGTCAATCAGTCAGTCATTCAGTCAGTCAATCAGTCATTCAGTCAGTCAATCAGTCAGTCAATCAGTCAGTCAATCAGTCAGTCATTCAGTCAGTCAATCAGTCATTCAGTCAATCAATCAGTCAGTCAGTCAATCAGTCATTCAGTCAATCAATCAGTCAGTCAGTCAATCAGTCAGTCAGTCAATCAGTCAGTCAATCGGTGAGTAAGTCAGCTGGTTAGCCGATCAGTCTGTGAGTCAGCGAGTGAGTCAGTAAGTCGATTAGTCTGTCAGTCATCGAGACAGTGAGTACTAAACATGAACGCGTAAATTAACGTTTTTGTTAAAAGGGTTATCACGTGGGAACAAGAGAACTGGAGGAAATGGGCCGCTTTTTTTGTGCTGGTCTTCTCCGTGTCGGTCGCTCCTACCTCTATCGAAACAGCCACCAACAGTTACCATCAAGCCACAATACAGATCAGATGCACAATGCTGATAGTTTGTGGTGAGTTCCTTGCATGTAACCTTTCCACAATGTTAGCTCTACGTGTGACGTATCACAGAAGAAAATAAGTATTCTTTATTGTTATCTCTTGTTATCTCACTCTCGGAGCCACTCAGTTAGTAACTGAAAATTTCCTCTGTATTCCCGCTGCGAATTGAAGCCCTTTTGTACGTTCACTAGATTGTAAAATGTGAAAACCGGTATCACTGCTACTCTATTAGTTTTACCATTAGTTTTACCATCAGTCAGCGACTGTTTTATAAAGAGGACAAACACTCTTAAGGTGTTTTTAAGACATCTTTCACTTGTACGTGTCTCACTTTTGGTTAAAAGCAAACAACATAATAAACAGAGGGTTTTCTTAAGGCTGTTTATCTTTAATTTGAAAAAAAGAAACGTAAATTTCTTGTCGAACTAATGAGGAATGTCTTCTTTCCCTTAGGATAAGGACAAGTGAGCTGTTTGTTCCTTGTGAACTCGTCAGAAGTGGAGTCGTTATTTGATTATAATCTGGTTCATGAAAGCACATACTCGAGAACACAGCGGTCAAGTGCGTGCGCATGCGCAAACGTAGTGACTAGATTGCGTGTTTTCAGGCTGTTAGAACTAAGTTGTCCCACACAAGTTACAAACAACCACAAAAGCCAGTAAGTCACTCGGTTAAAAGCCCAAACCCTTTTATGGTAAAGCTCAATCAACAGGATATCCCTTCTTGAATAAGCTTTGTGTTCGTTGAGTCTCGAGTTTTCCTTTTCCTTCCCTACTTTCTTTTCCTTTAAAAAATTTCTATGAACGTTTCAAATTGTCTTTCGCTTATTTTGCGAAACGCGGTTGTTTCTTGTTTCCTTGAAATTTTGCGCGGGAAATTGGCGCCCGGGTGGCCAAAATTGATCCCCTGGCGCATGCCCTAGGTTTAACTACAGTGTTATACCCGCGTACCCAAGGACTTCACGTGACGACCGAAATTCTCTGGGAATAATTACTTTGATGGCGAAAGTAAAGGTAATCAGAGCAATGAAAATAAATATTGAGCACACCATATAATTTTAGTCGTAGCCCGACATAGACAGCACGAACTTTTTAGTAGACTTAGTTCGAATTGACTAGTTACGCGACCCGAAATTACATCATGGGAAAGCTTCAGGTAAGTCTTGTTGTCAGGTTCCTATGGATGGTTATTCTTCAGTTCAACTTTCATATGTATCAGTGTGAGGGTGAAGTTAACAAATAGTAAATTAAGGGAGTAAAGCCAACTGTGCTGTGCTCCAAACGGAAAGGTTGGTCGCAAGTTATCATTTTAATCTCGTATTGATTCGGATCTATGGTCAGGACAGCTGTACGAGTACGAGACAAGAGGCAGCCAATGATGATTTATATTAAAGGGATTTAGAACCAAAAAAGAATAAAAGTTTAAATGGTACATGATTTAAAATTAGAGTTAACAGCTATTTATTATTACTGTATTATCCTACTTGATATTTGGATTAATGTATTAAATTTGTAGTTTATTTTTAGAACATGTAAAAGTAAATTGGTTTATGTCTGTCAACATTGGGACCATTGATAATGTGGAAACTTTTAGGTGAAAAATTATTATCAGAAAGGAAATGTAACTGTCTATGATTATTTAAGAAAATTAAACGTTGACTTTGTAACCAAAGGTGAATTTAACAGAAAAAGTTTTTACTGCTTGTTTAGTGGGTATTTTTCTCTCCTCTGATTGGCCGTTGTGATCAATTTGGTTTTCATTTTACAACATGCAATCGAATAACTTCTTTTCATGTTCTTCTGTGAACAACTGAAGAGGCCTGTTGAAAATATCGCATTTACGTACGCGCATAGATATTGAAATCATATACGTGCCTTTATCCAGTTGTAAAGTGGCCGAATAAAACAGCTCCTTTGTCTATAACGTGTACGTTTCGTCGACAATGATGCGGATTGAAGATCTGCGGCAACCTTGTTAGCTCGAAATATCCATGAAAAAGAAAAATCGGTTAAAAGATCAATATGCTGTACCACGGTATTCTGGTTAACCGATAGTTAATGACCAGGACCGAGTTGTTCGAAAGCCGATTAGCGCTAACCCAGGGTAAAATTTTAATCTAGGTTTCTGTATTTGAGGGTCTGGTGGGGTTAACTGACAACTAGCCAAAATTTTAACTGACAACTGACAAATCGCTGAAAAACTAACCGACAACTGACATTTGTGGTGAGCTTTTACTAACAACTGACAAAAGCCCAGATCGCCCTAAACATCCTAAAAACTGAATGTAAAATAAGGACATTTGATTTATTTTGTTCACTGAAAGTACATTTTCCATGACATATCAGTAGGAGTACGCCAGAGTGTCCTATTTCGTTATCAATTACCGCATGTGCCATCCACATCAAGGTCACATATCAGTTATATGATCTTTTTTGAAACCCAAATCGATCGTTAACTTACGTGAAGGCCGTGAATGCAGGTAATTTAAGAGTTGTTGTAAGCTTTATCTGAATTGAGTCGGAAACGGCATTTGACGTCACAGAAGCCGCATTCCTATCAAAGATGTTAAAACCGTACTGGCGCTGAAAAAGCTCCTTCGTTCCTTTGTTCTAAAAGAGTTGTCTCGTAAATATGGCCTCGGAGATTTTGATGTGAAAGTTTATCACATGGCTCCGAAATCAGGCGGCAAGAGCGATAATTTTGCGTTAACTACGGACGAGCAATGGAATTTGGAGCTTCCGACCATGTTGGCTGGAACAGGAAGCGAATTAAACATGGAGTGGTTTGGTATTTGGCGTTGGTAAAAATATATCAGTTAATAGCCTACTCTTTATTATAAAACGCCCATTAGATGCCCACTTATAAGCGCCGTCAGAATTTTCTCATTCTTGAATTCGTGTAGATTATGTTTGATGTAGATTATAATGACATATATAGCTATAGTGACTGTGAAAAAGTTAAATCTTATAGAGTCGCAGTGATGCGACTGAATGGCTCTATTTCATGATGTTTGTCATATTCTGGTTTCGTGTGATTTTAAAGAGGTACTTAGCTGGCTCGAATTACATTGTGCAGCATTTGTTAAGCACCTCATGGCTTCACAGTAACAATCGCAGAGATATACCATTTTGTCCTTATCGTCTCCTTGATATCTTAAGTGATGAATTCGGAAACTTGAAGCCGCTGAACTCAGAAACTCGAAGCTTGTCCACCTTCGCCCTTCTTTAGAAAAGCCAACTTCAATCTGTGCTGCAAATGAAAACATTCTGTTGTGTGCAGACGATGCCCAGAGAGGAATTATACAAGTGACATTACACTGACTACAATGGAGTTGGCATTGGTGGTACCGGAGTCAGACTCGTGACCAACGTATATAACCCGACTGGCATTATGGAAGTTCTCAAACAAAGAGCTTACTTTGCAGCAGTCGGTCTAGACGGTGGCCTTTACGTTTCCGACCTTTCAAGTTTTGAAGTTGACCAACTTCTAAAGAACAACTCGGCCATATTCTGGTTTCGTGTGATTTTAAAGAGGTACTTAGCTGGCTCGAATTACATTGTGCAGCATTTGTTACGCACCTCATGGCTTCACAGTAACAATCGCAGAGATATACCATTTTGTCCTTATCGTCTCCTTGATATCTTAAGTGATGAATTCGGAAACTTGAAGCCGCTGAACTCAGAAACTCGAAGCTTGTCCACCTTCGCCCTTCTTTAGAAAAGCTAACTTCAATCTGTGCTGCAAATGAAAACATTCTGTTGTGTGCAGACGATGCCCAGAGAGGAATTATACAAGTGACATTACACTGACTACAATGGAGTTGGCATTGGTGGTACCGGAGTCAGACTCGTGACCAACGTATATAACCCGACTGGCATTATGGAAGTTCTCAAACAAAGAGCTTACTTTGCAGCAGTCGGTCTAGACGGTGGCCTTTACGTTTCCGACCTTTCAAGTTTTGAAGTTGACCAACTTCTAAAGAACAACTCGGAGTCTTGTAGAAATCAAAAGACTTTGTGAATTTGAAGATGGGATAGCGCTCACTGACTCGGGGGATCGAAAGGTAAAGGTCTTCAGTCCTTCTGAGAAAAACGTTAAAACCTTGATGGGCTCTGGTCAGGAAGGAGCAAGTGAAGGAACGGATGAAACGTGTTCTTTTACGCAAGTTCATGGCATCTGTTCTATGGAGAAGACTATTCATATCGGATATGGCTACAGTTTGCATTGAATTAGCGTCGGGACTCAGTGGTACTGTGTCGTACTCAGTCGTACTGTGTCGTTCTTAGAAGTCTTAGAAGTGGAACTGCGTCATTCTTGGAAGTCTCTATGACAGTTTTGGTATCGGAGCTCAAAGCACAGAGAAACCACAATTGTCTCTTCAAGATACCGTAGACACAGTATAAAGGAAACCACAGCAACCAACGGCTCAGGAAGGAACTGTGTCTCATAAAACTCAAGTCTCACTTAAACTTCTCGATGAAGGAATGCGCCGCCCGCACATGCAACAGCATAGCTTCAATTAACAACGATTATCTCCAAGATATTGAACTGAGCACATTACTCACAACAGTTGTGGAGAATTTACATGAAGTTTCACATTTTAAGCACGAGACCTTCACCGCATTACAGTATTCCCAAGACTTTGGATTAATTACCAAGGAGTCGTTGAAGAGAGTAACGAAATGGGAAGCCAAGTATTTTACTCATGAAAAATCCTACTTCCCTGTCTCTCGGACCAGCCCGGAGTTTGCAAATGTAAACTTTACGCGACCTCTACCTTCAGTAGGGATCGACCCCGCGATTGAAAGTGCTATGAAAGAATTTGTGGAGAAATATCGTCCCTTAAGGCAAAGAACAGTTCGGGAGGAAACTACAAGGACAGGGCAGGGGCTTTACCACCGGCCGTCTACACGAAGCAACAAGATTCCACCAAAGTGGACTCCGGAGATCAGTCAATAGGGTTCATCAGTGACAAAGGAGCTGTTCAAGCTACTTCGGAAGGTGGGAATGTGACAGATCACATTTGTTGACGACTGTATCGTTGAAGTGGCAGTTGCTGAGGTGCGAACACATGCAGACGAATATGACACGGACTCAGAAAACAACGACTTTTCTGACCAAGAGGATGAAGATATTACCCCAATTACGGTTTCTAGATCTAGGCGGCCAGTTCGCACCTATTTTCGCCTGGATTTCTAAGACACACTTTCTCTAATAACCTGGTTGAAAAGTAGACAAAAGAACGTTCCGCAATCGAAGCTTTGTAAAACAAACATTAATCAAATATATTGTGCTAGAAGACTTTTCACAAGTTTGTTTTCTCTCTGGTGATCTTCTTTCCAACATTTTGACCCGTTAAGTGTTGCAAAGGAATGTTGCGCACGGGAAAACAGAAGTTTGTGTTCAGGAGAGTCGTAACTGACTTAAACAATGATTGAAAGTCATTTGAAAGATCTTATTTCATTCCAGAACTAAGAAAAAGTAGTTCTTATTGTATCAGTTTTCGACTAAATTTTCGAGTTTACGCTATATGTTTTTTTCAGCCAAAACTATAGGGTCGGAAAGTAATAATTAACTTGCCAAGTTAATCATTAACAGTCATTTGACTGACAATTGATGACTGGCCGAAATTTTAACTGACAACTGACATTCGTACCCCCCCCCTCCCCATCCAGGCCCTCGTATTTCTCTATTCAAAAGCCGTTAGGGATAATTTTCCTAATTCCTTTTAGAGCACACCACAAAATTATAGGCAAATGGAATTAAACTGAGTTTTCTTTCAAAGCTTTCCAATCTGAAATC